ATTCGGAGTCGAAGTCGACGAATTCGCGCCCAAAAATGTTCGGAGTCGAAAGTTCGGAAGTTCTCGGAGTCGGCCCACCCTTACCTCCCACCACACCCCCAGCGACAAGCGCGCTCTTCCATTATTTATGGTGTAGACAGCACTAACTATCGCGCACCTCCAGCACGTTGCAGAAACTCAAGCACCTTGAGCTCCCTCAGCTCACTGCATAAACGCCAAGCACTCTCAACAGTTACACATCGCTACAGGCTATCTATTAATTATATACAACTAACTCACCCGACAAGGTAAGAACAGGCTGGGTTTTTGGTTTTGTTTATTCTTTGTTTATTTGTTTGTTTGGGTTTTTAAAAATGTTTTGTTTAGATTTCTAGTTAGTCTTAATGCTTGATGGGCCGGATAATTCTGTTGGTGTCAAGTTGGACAACGGTGGTAATGACTCTGGTTTGAACCTTGAACAAAATCTTTGAACATCCCTAACACTAAGGCTCTCGTCTCAACGCACTTTGGTTGGCTCTATCGGAGACGGACGTTTATACATTCAGTTTTAATGGAGATTGTTTTGGTCTCTTAAAGATCAAACAGTCTTTACCAAGTATTCTTGTGAGTATGTTAGTGTTTTAGCGCCAAAAAATATTTCAGCTCGCACTAAGTTATTGCTTCCCAGGAAGTTGCGCTTGCTTCAGAATGTAATCAGGTCTGCTGGAATAAAATTTCTAGCTTGTTGTTGAACGGGAATTTGCGTTAAATAATGCTATATCTAGGCCTATTAAAGATCTAGACGTTGAACTTACACTATGCCGTACTTTCACCGCATTCCAGTTTCGAAAAATGGGCAAAAATATAAATGCGACCTGTTTGCAATCGCACCCCCCCCCCCCCCCCCCCCCCCCCCCCCACCCTATCTCAGCGTATTATGAGGAACTGTGCACTGCACACGAGGGAAATTCCCACCACTTGCACGGTAAGGTTGAGACCAGAAACGTTTGGATTACAAAAAGAAAACGTACGCGAGGTGTAGTGTTGTGCCACGGCTTGAAGCACTGCCGACAAAAATGTTAAAGGTTAAAACCAAGGTTGCTATTTCATGTTTAGAAATTAGATCTTCGTCTTTTCATTGTGAAGCCTAACTCGCTAGCGGTCGTACGCGAGCGCTCGTGTGTGTGTGTGTGTGGGTGGGT